TGTGTGCTTTTCCTCTCAAATGTCATCTGGCCAACCCAACAAAGATTTAATTGTGGCAACTTGAAGCCTTAGCAAACTTGGGCTTTACTGAATGTTCTTTTGAAATCCTCACAACTGCCTGTCCTTCAGATAAAAAAAAACCATGAGCATATTGAAAGTAAGTTGGTGGATTATTGGTTCGAAGACTGCTTCTTACTGCTCCCCTCCCCGCTTTTTCAAAACTAAAGATTGGAATTTTAATTGCTCAACCACAGCTTTTAAATCATGATGCCCAAAAAGGGCATGGTTTATTAATTAGTTCTTATTATTAGGCACCCTGAACCTGGGCTGGGCTATTTTTTGATTGGTTTCAACAGCTCTTTGCCTGAAATGACTGTCTGTAAGCACATAGAGGTGTAATTATGCAGACACTAGCGATTCAGTTCTGCCAGGTTAAACCCTCTATTATGAATACGTATTATAGTGTCTTGAAAGGCGTTTATTGAAATGCCATAGTTTAATAGTTCAGGCTTACAAAATCAAGCTCTCTTATGTTACAGGCAACAGCCTCTTAATTGGATGTTTTCTCCCAGCACATAAAAACATTGGCTTGAACACACACATACACACACACACACACACACACAATTAATTTTAATTTTTATTTTTTTGAAGTGTGAGAAGCAGTATTGCTTTGTGGTTTAAAGTAAGGATTCTGGAGCAAGTGTGCCTGGGTTAGCCTCATGCTTTTGGTATTTCCCAGCAGTAACTTTGGGCAAATGACTTACCCCTCTCTATTGCAGCGTCTTTAGTAAAATGGGGATGATTATAATGGCTGCCTCATAGGATTGTTGTGAAGTTCAAATGAGTTAATATACAAAAAAACTTAGCAAAAGTATATGGAAAGTAGTCTTTGTGTTTTTTATGATTGCTGTAGCACATTTACTTATATTTTGTGTTGTAAAATCTAGCTGTGTTAAGTCCAGAAAGAATTATGGATGTCTCCCTCTGGCAAAAGCTAGGTTGTTCCCTGGTATTTATTCTCTTCTTCTTCCACAGTAATAGCTTCCTCTCCCCACCAATTTTTATCTGGGTGGGTATAGAGCTGTCCAGAATAAGGCATGCATTTCTTTTCCATCTAGAAATGCCCATGTGACTAGGTTCTGGCCAATAGGTTGTAAGCAGAACTAGAAATTTCTGAACAGTGTCCTTAAAGGAAGAAGGACGATGTGTTTTCACTTCTTCCTCCTTCCTACTGATGGGAATTTGGTCTTGATGGCTGGAACCCAAGCAGCCATCCTAGATCATTAGATGATGTCCTGGGATGCTGAGTAGCCAGGAATCAGAGGCCTGAGTCCCTGACAACTTCAGGGAGCAGACCTGTCCCAGCAGCCCTTTTCTTTCACTCTAGGCTTGACAAATCTCTATATTATTTAATACTCTAATTTGGGGTACTTACTGCAGAAAAATCTAGTCTTAGGCAACATTTTCCCCTCCTGAATTAGGCCCCAATGTGCTCACTATTTTGATTGCCCTGTGTAGATATTTCAGGACACTAAGTCACAAAGAACCATGAAAAGTTTTCACACACTCTTTATTTTCTATGGAAGCCACTGCTTTACCATACCCAAATGTGATTGCTCTTACTCTCTGCCTGGAAGTACTTAGCCCCGGGCCTCAATTGGTGCCTGGGCAGGAGAGTGAGTGGCAGTGGAATTGTGCATATAGTTGATGGCCAAATTTTGTAGAAATGACTTGGAGTCTCTTCCAGCAAGAGGGGACATTCCAACAATTTTATCACTGCCTCTGGACCAGAAATCATGGCCCATTGAAGAAATCCAATGGCAATTTTCATTTGCTTTCTTTGTTATACACAAGAACAAGTTTCTCTATTTTCTATACATATCAGAAGGAAGCAGGACTCCTGGACAAAGTGGCTTTAAGCAGGGATGTGTTGATGTTGTTTAGTTTTCCTCAGGACTCATACAGAAAAATGTTCCAGAACTTCAACATATTTCCTTAGGAACAGTGATGATCATCGTCTAGCCTCCTTTATGTGCTTGAAATTGAAAACTTGTGTTGTGGTGGTGCCAGAGATCTCAGGATTTAAGGATTTTGATGAGACTTCCTCCAACACTAGTGAAAAGCAGAGGTGCTATCTAAAGCCTCCAGGGGAGACATAAATTCTAAGGGACATCTAAGCCCTTTCCTTACTCAAAGTATAAAGAAGGAATATACCTTATTTCTGTTTGTCTTGATTGTGAAGTTCACAGGTGTTGTTAGCAAAACCAAGTCAGATTTCTTGAATGTGTGAGTTGGTGTCTTTGCACTGGGAAAATTCTTAGGCTCTGCCACATTCTCTCTACCTTACTCTTCTGGAGCTCCAGTTAAACATGTTTAGATTTCCTGCTTTATCTTTCACATCTCCATATTTCCTATCTTTTTATATCTTTGTGCTACATTCTGTATAATTACTTCTTATCTATAATTCACTAATTCCTTCTTCAGACATGTATATCTATTGAAATTTTAATTCTGGTATTGTTATTATTATCACTAAACGTTTTGTTTGGTTCTTTGGCCAATCTTTTAGGTCAGTTTTTTAAAAAATAAATAATCTCTGGCTTTCATTTGTTTCTTTCTCAAGCTTTCATTTGTTTCTGGAAACATACTGTAGCTTTTTAATATGTGCAAGACCATTACTGCTATTTGTGCTAGTTCTTGCTCATAGTACCCTGTTTCCTTGTGTGTGACATTTCCTTTGATTTTATGCCTGCTCATTGTCTTTCAAAATGGTTTTTACAGATTCTTTTAAGTGTACGATGAAGTTGGCTTCTTCCAGAAAGGATTTGTGTTTATTTGATTTTTTGAGGCCCCTAGAAACTTTTCAAGCTTGTGACTTCCTTAACCCAGTTTTATTTCCTGGCTCCATGTCCTGTACATTGAAGGCAATATTTTGTGGAACTGACTCATCAAAGATCTGGAAATGCCCCCTAGTTTACTCTTATTCCAATCCACTGCCATTTGTAATAACGAATACCTCTGAGGGACTTAGCCACATCCCCCCAAGCAGCAGGGAACCAAAATATGTGGGTGATAGAAGAATATGGAAGTTCTAAGAATCTCATTGCCCTGTCAACCTAAAAGCTGTCTAGGGACCAAATGAAATTCAAATAGGCAAAAAAATCTTCTTAATACCAAGGCAAACATCAAAGAGCAGAACTTCAGTCTACTTCACTTGGCTCTTAAGTTATTTTTGTTCTTTTCTTAATTTTTATAACAGTAATATGGTTATAATGTATAACAGTAATATGGCTATAACCATATGTATAACAGCAATATGGTTATGCATATGGTTAAACATGAAAATGCTATAAAAGGGTAATAAATGAATAGTAAAGGCCTATTTCTTCATCATTGTGGCTTTTATTTCCATTCATCAGAGCTAACTGCTGTTAACATTTTCTTGTATTTTTATCCAGAAATAATTCTAGATATACAAGCACATATATTTATTATTTTGTACACAAAGATATTATAGTATGTAATATGTACTGCTGTCTTCTTCCCCCACACACACGAATAAGAGATCTTACAGATCTTTCTATATCAACACTTCTATCTGTACCTCATTTTTTAAAAATGACAATATAGATGTCCTACATTTTATGTAATCTGTTCTTTTTTAGTGGAAATTTAGGTTATTCCTAGTTTTCAACTCTTACAAGAGTTCTTATATTAATAAGAACTATTACTATGGCTTATATTTCCTGTGCTAATCACTTCATATTGATTTCCACATTTGCTGTTACAAATTTTTGACACTACAAAATGTGGTCTTTTTTTTAATTGTAAAAAGATATAATTTTATTTCAAAGAAAATCTTACAAAATAATTTATAAATTACTTGAATTTATACATCAAAGGGGCCACCATATTTCCTAAAAGTCAAAGAGGATCATCATTAAGAAGACAGAGACTGACAAGGAGACTAGATTGTAAAGGTAGAGAAATTCATGTGCCCTCAAGCAAACATGATTAAAACATCCGTAAAGAGAAAGGAGAAAACCAAACTGGCTTCAGTGCTAGAAACAAAATGCCAATTAAATGATGAAAAAACAGAATTTTATCTGATCTCTTTATTGTCATTTCTTTGATTACTAATGAGATGGAAGAACCTTTTATTTATTGAACATTCTATTTCCCTCTCCTCTGAATTTCCCAATATACCAGTTATATTTTTTCTTCAGTTTGTCTATTTTTTATTTTCATATACATGATTATGTTTTATGACTATCTCTTCTGAATCTATAGATTGGCTTTTTATTTTCTTGTATTATTTTTCCTGACAGAAATTGTTCTAATTTAGATTATTGCACAATCTTTCCCTATATAGTTTGTGCTATTTGTGCCTTTTTAAACGTTTTGTGATGGGCACACTTATAGCTGTGTGACTCAAGAATTTGTATCTTTTTAAGAGGGCTTTTCTACCCTGAAATCACAAAGGCCTCTACATGAAAAATGTGATATTATAGGTATTAATGTTTCTTGATGTAAAAGTTCTTAGCACTATTAAATTGAAAGGTCTATCCTTGCTTCCCACCAGAAATATAGTGTCATGGGTAGTGAATGTGGCTTCCAGATTCCTTACATCTGTATGAAATAATATGTCTTTTAGCCTGTCTTTTATTTTCTCACACTCTGCCCATTTGTTTCCAGCCCTTTTCCCAGAATGCAACTTATAATCAGGAAAGACAGAAGTTGTCACCGCTGAAAAAAGCTAGAAGCAATTCTCAACTGCAGGATATCAAAATAGCATGTTCTAAGATCCATAGTGGTATATAATTTAAATAATAGTATAATTATGTTGAGAGGAACAGAAATTCTGAATCTTGTTCAGATTTTAAGAGGTTCAGTATTAAGAGCTTATCCAAAGCAAGTTTCTTTCAAAAACACAGTCAGACTTCCCAGAAATGCAGCCTTGATGTACTTAAAAGCGCTTGTTGTCTTTTTGCTTGCAGTCAAGTACATGCGAGAAGCCACTCCCTACGTGAAGAAAGGATCCCCAGTGTCCGAGATCGGGTGGGAAACGCCGCCACCTGAATCCCCTCGGTTAGGGGGAAGCTCATCCTCATCGGAACCTCTGTCGTCACAGTCCTTCTCCTTCCACAGAGACCGGAAAAGCATCCCCCTCAAAATGTGCTACGTCACTCGGAGTATGGCCTTGGCTGACCCTGAGAACAGGTAAAGAGGCTGAAACTCCCCTCCCGTCTCAGCAGCTCCTTGGCCTCTGAGGTTAAGCAGGGATTTTTGCCAGGTTGCGCTCGTGTTCTGAAAACACTCCATGGTTTTTCCAAAGACTAACATGAAAGGGTCATGCTGACACTGTGTGTGTATGAATTGGTACCCTGAGCTCTGGTTCTGGAAAGAAGTGAACTAGAATCAGGATCCTGAATGTCTCTCCTGGCTCATTGCCAGTCTATGTGACTTTGGGCAAGTTTCTCAAACTACTGAATCTCAGTTTTGTCACCTGCAAGATTGGATAAGTGATATAGAAACCTTATTTTGCTGTAAGGATTAAGTGGGGAAATCAATATGAAGTGATTAGCACAGGGAATATAAGCTATGGTAATATTTCTTATTAATATTAGATAGTAATAAGCAAATTAGCCTCTCTGGGCCTCAGTGCCCTCAACTATGTACTTGGAGGGTTAGATGAGAGAAGCCTTAAAGCTATCATATTTTCTACTCTAAACCAGTTTTTATGCTCAAAAGAGAAAAAGGAGTGGCTTTGGTCCAAGCCTGGAGTGCTGTTTCCTGAGATCTACACATGACTTTGCATGCCATAGGACAAATATATCACCCAACCCGTGGCTATTATAAGGAGTCCCACCAAAAGGAAGTAAATATTTGAGGTCTGTCTTCCCCCTAAAAGTCTTATTTTAACTCATTTGAACAGAAAATATACATCTTAGAGGAAAACAAGAGAGGTAAAGAGAACGACGGGGAACTGAGCCAGCAAATGGGGAATCTTGGTGACCTTTGCATCCATATTAAAGTTCTAAAAATAGCAATAGCTCTACTGGCCCTTATTTGGAACATGTGTGGGACAGCTGCAACCCACTCGAGTAGAAAGTATTTGGCTAGGTTCAGAGTTGCCGATAGGGAAAAAAGGCAATCGGGCAGAGAGAAAGTCGCCTCCTTGGTTCCCAGCTCAATGTCTTTTCTGTTCTCATCCCCGTAAACTCACTCTATGGAAGCTCTAGAGCCTTTCTGGCTCCAGCCAGCTGCAGGTTCTTACTACCCTGTTCCGCCCACAGCTCCTATGTCAGTTATATCTGCACGGGGATGGGCCAGTTGTACAGAAGAGCCAGCAAGTATGAGCAAAAGAGGAGTCAGAACAGGCCGACTGGGAAGGAGGCAGAGTTCATCGCCTCTCTCACCCTGCTCTGTTTCATTCCCCCATGATTTCTGCAGATTTCCTGGGCCTGCAGTTGACATCCTGGTTACTCTCGAGTCTCCTCTTCCCTGGCCTCTTACCCACTCAATCAAACGAGTCCTTTTCCCCAAGAATCTGATGTGAAAGGTTTCAGATGTGATGAATTCACAATTTATTGCATGCCTTTTGTGTGCTAGGCATTATGCTAATTATTTAGACCAGAGACTGCCAAGTGGCAGGTTACAAGTACACCCAACCCAGAGATATGTGGTTTTAATGGTCTATCAAGTGTTTTAAAGAAATTTGAATTAGTTGCCATAGTGAATAATTGGTAAATTTCCAATTATCCAGGTTTTGCTTTTTTAGAAAAATTAGAGGAACGAATAGTATTATTGGGCCCACAAAGATGCAAGCAGGGCTGCAATAGACAGGAGCCCAGCAGAGGTTTCTCCTTTGACAAGAGAATGAACTCTCCTCTTCACTCCTACTACCTTACGCTAGGGGACTCAATTACTAGCATCGACAATAGCCACAGATGAACGTGCACAGCGACTTTAGCCGACAGCCGTGATATGACTTTCTAATTTTTCATTTATCAAAATAAAATTGTGAACATTTAAAATTAACATAATGAAAACATGTATGTATATGTTGCCTATTCTGATTTACATTACAAGTAAAGCTGCCTGTAAAGTAAGACAAGCTTTCAGTGCTTTAAAGCTTTCCTCATCACACAAGAGCAATACGGACTCGTCATCAATGCACAGCACAGACTATCGTGCGGACTATAAGTGCTGTCTGTGGGCAAGGTTTTGCGGTCAGTGAGCACGGTACCGAAGTGGTAAAACTACTAGCCTGGTTGTTCACATTACATGTTTAATCTTTGAATTCGTAACCCTGCTTAGTCCTCTTGACAGCCCTCTGAATTTCTATAATTGTCCCCAAGCTGCAGATAAAAACTTGAGGCTAAGATTGTTTATATAAGTTCCTACTGTCATATAGCTATTATATGGTATAGCTGGGCTTCAAACCCATGCCTACAGAATGGGTGACAGTGTTAGTGAACGATTTCCAGAAAAAATGCAGACAAGACTAGAGAACTTATTGGGGTATCATAGAAATGGAGAAATCGAGTAGATGATTTCTAGGATTTCCAACAGTGGTGGACTTAAATAATATAACATTATTCCTAGGTAATTTAATTATATTTTAAATAATATTTTGGAAGACATTGGGCATTAATCCAAGTATTGGAAACCTCAGTCTGTGTGTCAAGCCAGCAGAGGAGAATGTGTTTTTAAACTTTTATATGGGTGCTCTTCAGTTCACCATTGATGAGGACACGCAGGGCCTCCATGTCGGGTGTGAGAAGCCCTGGGCAGAACTGAAAATGAGAATCCCACTAAGCCAGGCGGCTCAGAGGGAACTTCAGGTCCAGATAGGTCAAAAACGCTGCTAGCAAGATTAGGAGCCTAGGTGAGGCTTTCCCCTAATTGAGGAAGAAGAGAAAAGAAAAAGGAAATAAATACTTTATGGAACTCCAGTTATGTGCTGGGAAGAGTGTAGTGTACCAGTCAGAAATCATAATCTGCAAAACCCAACTCTATGCTGAATGCAAGAGTTTTTGCTACTACAAAGCATTTTTAAAAAGTGAAAAATACAGGATGGGCAAAAGCATACAAAGCAAATGCAAACTCACAACAACAAAAAGCATCTGTTTTGATCTTGATATAAGACAAAGTAAAATGCAGGCTGAAATGCATAAAATAAGACAGGAAGAATTGATTTATGCTGAAGGCCAGAGTTGACAAGGAACGTTCAGTAGTTATGAATTCATACCAAATAACATAGCAGCAACCTTTATAGCAGAAACTGCAGAAGATTCAAGAAAAAGTAGGCCAAGCCTGGTGGCTCATGCCTATAATCCTGGTACCTTGGGAGGCTGAGGCAGGATGATTGCTTGAGGCCAGGAGTTCCAGACCAGCCTGAGCAATAGCAAGACCCCATCTCTACTAAAAATAGAAAAATTAGCCAGACATGATGGTGCATGCCTGTAGTCCCAGCTACTTGGGAGGCCAGGCAGTAGGATTGCTTGAGCCCAGGAGTTCAAGGTTGCAGTGAGCAAGGATGATGCCACTGCATTCCAGCCTGGGCAATGGAGCAACACCCTGTCTCAGAAAAAAAAAAAAAAAAAAAAAAAAAAAGCAGAAACATAGTCACATAATCAGATAAGGAAAAACCTAACCTTTTTGGCACCAAGGACCATTTTGATGGAAGACAGGTGGATTGGGGTGGGCTTCATTTGCTCACTCACACTCACCTCCTGCTGTGTGGCCCAGTTCCTAACAGGCCACAGACTGGTACCAGTACTCAGCCCTGGGATTGGGGACTGCAGATTTAACATATACCACTCTCAAATGGAGAACAAAAGATAAATACAATTCCTCTTATAGATGGGGGATATGTTCCGAGACCCCCAGGGCTGCCTGAAACCACAGATAGTACCCAGCCCCCTATATACCATATATTTTTCTTATACCAAAGAGGGATCTCTTTTTT